AAATTATTAAATTAATTGTAAATTTAACTTTTGAGTTTTGTGTGTTGGCGTCAATTTAATTCTTAAACTTAAAAAGATAAAAAAACTATCATCAAATAATAAAATTTGCTTGAATTTTCGTCATCATATAACATATAGCTAGATAGATTAATATAATCAACGTCTTATTAAATAATTCTACCAAAGCAAACGTAACTCAATGTTAATTGACATATATCTTTAATCAAGATGTTTTGAGCTCGAGTCCCCATCCCCTACTAAAAAAATTCTTATTAATACCAATAATGTAAATGATTTCTTTTTTTTTCCTAATTTGAAGATTAAATAGTTATGCTGTCAAAATTTTAAATACTAAACTCATAATTTAAAGAGTAGATTTATATAATTTATTTCTTTTTTGCCTTTAAACTTTCAAAATGTCTGTTTATAAAAAAAAACAAAAAAACAAAAGAAAAAAACAACTTTCAAAATGTCTATTTTAATCGTTGAACTATATATTTAAAAAAAATGTTAAAAAATACATTTGGTCCCTGTACTTACACTAAAGTAACAATTTAGTCCTTGAACTTTAATTTGTAACGATTTAGTCCATCCCTAAAGTAACAATTTAGTCCTTATCGTAAAAAATTTTGTTAAAAATAAGTGTCAAATTTTATCATATAACAATTTAATCTTTCTAATTCATAAACATATTTAATACCTATTTAGTTTATCAATCTATACATATAAGAAACTTAACAAAAAAAAAATCACGACAATGACTAAATTGTTGTCAGTTTGAAAGTACAGAGACTAAATCGTTACAAATTAAAGTTCAAAGACGAAATTGTTACTTAAGAAAAAATACAGGGACCAAAAGTATTTTTTAACAAAAAAAAACTATTTTGATCTTTCATATATGTGCTTTTAACAAATGAATATGATAACTTCAAGTACAAGTACATGTACTAACGTATCAACATAAGCACGTATTGAAGTCACATAGGTAGATCAAGACAATTATTACGTGAGCAAATGTTAGGTAAAAAATTAAAAACAAAAAACAAAATAATAATCTTTTCAAAGTTCAAGGACTATAGTAATATTTTTCAAAAGTTCAAAAATTAAAATGGACAATTTTAAAACTCCAAGACCAAAATAGAATAATCTCAAAAGAAGTCCATTATTTCTAGGTTAATGGGTCAGAGAGTGCACAACTCTCATACTTCTTTCTAAAGCATTTCACAATTCACACTAAGCTCTTCTAGCCTGTTTTGCTTATTTCTAGCTTATTTCTAGGTTTCACTATTGCTCATGACTGGTATATGGATCTTTTTATTACGTAGTGGTCTATTGATTAGAAGCTCGGTGAGATGCAACTAATCGCGAAAGGAGCGAAAGGAATCAAAATGAGATTTAAACCATTAGATAAATATTTTAAAATTTTTATTATATAGGCATAAAATATAGTGTAAATTTGAAAGGTGGAACTTTTGGATTGATCCAATGGCCACCAAGTGTAAACTTTCTGTCCAATCAATGGATGATGGGTCCTCCTTCAGCAGAATATTTGAAGGAAAAAAGCCCCTAAAGAACTTGGAATTATTCACCTAGCCACTCCCAAAAGGACCTATATTCATAGACTTCATAAAGAGTGCTGCATTTCATCCAATGCATTGATCAAATAATAGAGGATAGTTGAAGTGAAATAGCACAAATAATTTACACCATTGTTTCAATGCACAACTCAGCATTTATTTCATCTTTTCTCTCTAACTTTGGAAACATTGAACTTCTCGAGTATTGTTAACACTACAAAGGAAGAAAACCAAAACTAAAATATAGAAATTACAAAAAGAAATCGACTCTAGAGGTCGAGAATAAGAGAGAAGATAACTACAAAACTCTTTCGTGAGATGTGGAACTTAATCATAAATCACACCTCTACTCGAGGACTCTCAAAATCCTATTGTTCCTCTAAAACAAAATATTTCATAAAATAGTAAAAAGAAATGTTGCACAAGGACAAGTCTCTTCCATGTCTTGAAGCAGCGGAAAAACCTCCACAATATAGGATGCGCCATTGAGGCCCCAACAACACAAAAAAAAAAGTGGTATAAAGTCAAATAGTATTAATCTTCCAATGAAAGATTTGACCCCATAAAAGATTCTAGCCTTCAAAAGCATGAAAAATAAAAAGGAAAATGGAAGAGTGTGTCACATAAGAGAGAAAAAATACCCCTTATGAAGGGTTAGGAGTCAACAAATGAAAATTCCTAGCGTATTCCAAGAGTTTCTAAAACTGTCTTTAAACCCCACAAATTGAGACCCACCGAATCTGACACAAAGCACCAGTCTCCAAAAGACTGGCAAACCGTGTTACCTATGCCCAAACTAACTCGAACGATCTCGAAACTACCTCCCTATGTTCAAATGAGATCTCCCACTCTCTTATAGAAAATTACTCATGATCTTTCCTATCCTTAAAATTATAAAAGGAAGTAGATCAAAAGTCCACTTGAAACCTATCGACTAGGTGTCAACCTACCATTCGTTAGGGAAGAGTACCTTTTTTCCATGAAAAAAACGTTTCTGAACCCTTCACTCAATGAAGGACAAGAGTAAGAAGATTGTGTAGGAATGAGATCGCGGAATTTGACCGCATAATATGCCTGCATACCAAATATCCCTTTAGAGAACATTTTGCATAAGGCTATCTTATCTATTCAACGCATACATAGGTCATAAGATGTGACATTCACAAGTGCCCTAACTCCTAAATAATATTCAAGGAAAACACATGATAAAAAACCAATATGCAGTGTTCAAAAACTTAAGGAGATAAAATGTTATATGCATCATAAGCATAATAGGACTTCTTTTTCATGAGAAAAATGGAAAGAAAAAAAAAAAAAAAAAAGATACACAATAGGCATACAAAAAATAATAATAATAATAAATAGCCCAATGACAGGAGACCCACCAAAAGAAAGGGGCTCAAATCCTAAAGGACTTAACCACCCCACAAGGCAGTATTAGATCTAATAATCTTAATAATCTCCAGGTCTCAAATATACTTCTTGAATCTCTCCACCCTCACAGATTCTATTATTTCTCTGGTCCAAATCCCCCACAAAATAGTCATCATCAGCATAATAGCTCTAAGGACACTAAACTGGACTGGCCATCATACTTCACTTTTTCCCAACATCACAATAAAACAATTTTCCACCCTTAAAGCAACTAAATACATTTCATTCATCCGGAATTTTGACCAAAGATCGGCCTTTCCTTATCTTCTTGAAGCTAGTTACAAGATACAACCTCAGTTTTTTAACTGCCTGATTAAAAAATAATGAATCTAGGTTGAAAATCATTTTTGGTCCCCGTACTTTTATTGAACAATTTAGTCCTTGTATTTCAAATTTGTAATAATTTAGACCCATAATTTTAGTATGTAACAATTTTCTCCTTGTAGCTTAAAATTTGTAATGATTTAGTTCCTACCATGAAAAATGTTGTTGAGATTTAATGGAGTTTCTTATACATGTAGATTAGGGACTAAATGTGTTTATGAACTACGAAGCCTAAATTGTTACCTAATAAAAACCGACGCTTGGACTAAATTGTTACAAATTTTAAAATATGGGGTCTGAATTGTCATAAACTAAAGTTCAGGGACAAAATCGAGAATTCAAGGGTTAAATCGTTACTTCAATGAAAGTACAGGACCAAAAGTTTGTTCGCATACCTCAAAAAGCACTCACTGTCATTTCAAGCCTTTTTTTTGTCCATGTCCTCCATTGGCCCCTGATCTTGATTGCACGTTAATGTAATATCAGGCACCACCTCAATATTCTCATCAGGCTGTTATTAGAGTATAAAAGATAGTCGATAAAAATGAAAATCAGTGGAAGACATTGCAATGAAACCAAAAGGAATACAAATTACTACCTGCCACAGTTTCAAAAGATACCATATTAAGAAGTCGATGATCATAACCACGCAAAAAAGCTTTCCTGCCCATGACCCACATGAGAGATACCTGAAATTTAGATTTTAGTTTTGATGACCCTTCAATATTATCTCATAAGCAGCACTCTACAGTAGGTTGCACGAATGACAAAATTTAAGTCCTCTAATTTTCAGATATCAAGCAAACTTAAGTAAGGATTAATATCTCATTCAATGTCTGGTATGCTGACAAATGGAAGATGTTGCTAGTAATATCTGAACGATGAATGCTCTTTTGAATTTCCATGTAAACATATGATTTCAATAGCATACCTGGAGAGTCGTTCAAGAAGATTTTGATCCGTGCTTCTCAGAGCATAGTCATAAACAATAACTGTCCTTCTTGCAACATCATGCCAATCATACAATTTCTTCATCTAACAGTTTGTTTAAGAGATAGAAAGAGAATACAGTTAGTACATATAAACATTACCAGATGCATATAGAGACTTTTTGTTCCTTTCAAAGAATGCACTCACACGATCATGCATTTCTTGTGGGTGAATCAGAGGAAGTAAGAAAATCGCCTTCTTTATAGCCTGGACCATATCACCAGGATCTGGTTCTGCAAGTACAACCATGTCATCTGGTAGAACCTGGCATCAGAATATAAATATCCAAACCATAGAATAAACCAAAAAGTAAAGAAACAAACATTAGCATATGTATAATATATGAATTATTAAGATGAAAGAGGTAGAAAAGAACCTCTGGCACGCCTCCAACACGCGTACTAACTGTTAATAATCCACAACTAGCAGCCTCTAATATGGCTATGCAAAAAGCTTCTGTTAAAGAACTGCAAGAATGGTAAGAGTCAGAATTCGGATGAAAACATACATTTACAGACCAGGTGATTATAGAAACAACAGAAAACCAGATTTGCAATGTTCTAATCAAGCCTTTTTTTAATTACCATATGCTCTTTTATTTTAAAACAAACAAGCAAAATTGTAACAATCAGCAGCATGGATGAGATGACAATCCAAAGACAACATGGACAACATAGAAACAATCGTAAGTGCTTTATTATCAAATCTACAAGTGCTATGATCTTTTTAGTAAACACCAAAAGACATTGAATTTTTACTACTCCAAAAATACAAGGTCTAGGACAACATGATTCTCAAACTACTCCTATTCCCAAATTCTTAAAAGGTTCCAACATTCAGAAATAAAAAAGAAGTCAACCTTTTTTCTTTTTTAAAATAAAGCTTCACAATAAGAAACACACCGAGTATCACATATTACCATTTCTAATATTCACCTTTACATTCCAGGATGGAAAAATTGACAATCAATTTTCATTTGACATCAACCCAATGACATAATTGTTTGAGTTTGATTGACAACATCAATTAAAGAAAAAAACCCTGATTTTCCAAAAAGAATTAAAAATTTTAGTTTAAAACACTAGAGTAAAGTATGTACTTTAAATATAAAACTCAAGAAGTGACAACCTATTTAGAAATATATGGCCAGATATAAGAACTGATCGAACTCGAGCATGTGGAACAGCTCCCAACATCTCAACCCGATCTTGAAGACCATGCTTTTCCCTCATCTCTTCTAGCCGCACACGCTTCGGTCCATCTCCTCCAATAATGAATCGTACCTATGACAATTACATGTAATCTAAGAATGAAATACTCCAATTACATCTTTCTGCGGAGAAATACACTGATGACATAAAAATGCCATCCTCAATATAATGCAGGCTTTGACATGAATGTCATACTAATTAATATGTTGTCTACTCAATTGTACTCATTAAGCATCATTTTATTTGGAAATTTTAACTTAAGTGATTTTTTTTTTAATTTGAGAATGCATATAAGTTAGGTCATGCAAGCAGAAATGTAGCCATGCAAAGTAAGCTATCAATATCATGCTTAAATGGCAGGGGTTCGTGAAATAAGAAAACAATGAAGTCCATAATAACTCAACCTATGGCAAAACTAAAGAAAAAACAGTCCTTGCATAGCCAGGGGTTCAGGTGAATCAACCACCCATAAGAAGACTAGCCAAAGTGAATACTTCAAATACACACTATCTGGACTTGAAACAACTTACATTTGCAAACATCCGACAGACTTCAGGAATGACTTCAACAAGCAAATCTGCCCCTTTGCGATAAACCAATCGACTTATAACCACAATGATAATCTCGTTTGTACTGAGTCGGTTTGAAGCAGGCTTAAACATAGCAGTATCAACAGCATTAGGTACTACAAAAACTTTTTCTGGTGGCAAACCTGATCGTAGAACTGTGTTTTCCTTACTAGTATGTGAAACACATATAGCCTCAGTAACATCTGCTAACGTAAATTGCAATACTTTGTTCATATGGATGCTTCCCACATCAGCAAAACCATAGAGAGAATGATCAGTAAATACAACCTTGTATCCCATGGTCCTTGCATGCATCAAAGCTTCGTGAGAAAGAGTTGAAAACGCCTGGTGTCCATGCACTAACGTAATTTTTTCTCGAATAAGGATTGTCCTGACGATTGAAAGTGTCCCGTAGAAGGTTGGCAATGTATTTTGCATTAGAAATGGTTTCCATGGTACATAATACACTTTTAGGCCTCCCGTCATGTATCTCACACCGGTACGATTTCCATAAGCATGAGTCATCACCACAACCTAGACAATTATTTTCTTAGAAGTTTATAAAATTGCCAGTAGTTTAAACTTGCATAGATATCAAATCAAAAAGGGTACTAGGCATGTAAACAGCTAGGAAGGGAAATTCAACGGAAATTGGGGACCAAAATAGTGAAAACTTTCTCATCAACATATTATTTAGGATTTTTGACGGGATTAAATTCCATCGACATCCCATAAAATACAATATTTTGCACAAAACATTTTATTGAAATTGCATACAGAAATTTTAATTTAATTTTCCTAAGCTTTTATATAATTTGTTTATTCATTCATATTTTAAAGTACTATCTAAGCTTGAATAAGTTATCACTTACTAGTTCTTCAATATGTTTCCCTCTTTTTCCCTGTCTCTTAACATCCCCTAAATGGCCCGTCCCGATGTATTTGAAAATTTAAAAGACTTAGATATTCCAAAGTCCAAACCACGTGTTGAGAATGACTTAACACCGGCCCTACTCAAAATGAGATGCCCCATGTTTCTTAACATATAAATAGGGAGGGTAGAAAATGAAAACTGATAACTCTAGAATGAACTACCAAATAACGATGCAGAAGAAATATACACCTTGAAATACTCCCTCTACACCTTGAAATACATTTCGATTCAATAACAAAACCATATGAAACACATTGAAGAATCGTCCCTAACCTTGTGACCCAGTTTCAACAGACATTGCGAGAGATAATAGATGTGACTTTCCACACCGCCAAAGTTGGGATAGAAAAAATCAGAGACCATCAGAATTCTGTGTCTTCTTCGATCGCCCATCATAAAAATCTCCCAGACACCTACAATGTGCCACACATCGTGATCCAATCTAACAAACCTTCCGCGTACACAATAAATTCATAATTGGGTCCACGTAAAAAAACATAGTCATACAAGTAATTCAAATACATAACATGTTTAGCCCTCTGAAATCGACACACTCGCGGTAACTAATAAGCAGACCCCATGATAAATTGTACAAAAACAAGTTAATCGAACACTCCATCGCCCAAAATCGATGAGAGAAATAGAGGAGGCGAAAGTGAAACGAAGAAAGAAAGAATTACCCGGTGAGGATGGAGGATGATGCCCAGAGACAGATTTAGTTCGGAATGAATACTTGTGCCTGGAATATTCCTAATTAAGAATTATGGGAATCCATGGAAATAGCTTCAGACAACTACGAGAGGAGTAGGATCCTTCAAGCGAGCAGTGAGTGGGAAAAAAATGTAGAGTTTGGCCAAGTTTACAGAAATCAAACACCAGATTTAAGGGAGGTATGGTGGAGGAGGGAAGAAATTATGGAGCTCATGCGCACAAATGGATTGATTTCAACTGAGAACCCAAGATCGGGAGAGGTTCGAATCATCCAAACTCACGGCCTTGCCAGATGAGCCAAACAGACATTGGAATACCAATGTTTTGAGTATAATTCGTTAATTACATTGGAAAGTTCTTTCTTTTATTTGTTTAATCAATTAATTACTTAAATATAACCGTTCATTAATAAGTGAAAATATTTGCCTCAAATTGTTTAAATATATATATATATCTATATGTATATTGTATTAAAAAGGTAGGACGTAGGAAAAACATTTTTGGACACTTTTACCCTTTACTAAATTTACAAATTACAAATTATAACATTTACAAATATTAAATTAATTATTAATTATTAATTATCCATACTATAAATGCATGGAATATAAAAAGTTGGAATGCAAAAAGTTTTCCAACAACATTAAATTAATTTTTTCTTTAATTAAAATTCATACTAAAATTTCAAGAGTTTTAGAATTTGAAAAACTTTCGTAACGTTTTATTCTCTACTACTATAAAAATAGGGTTCTTCTACATGTTTTTCCCAAGTTTCAATACTTTTTTATTCTTAGTTCCTTCAAACATCTCTCAAAGATGATTCAATCATGAAAACATCTCGAGATATTTGTGAGATATTCATCAAGTTGTAAGGGAGGCATATGTTGAATCTACATATCTCGAATACTAGGTTTGTGACGTTACCATTCCACAATTTTACAAAGTTGAATAATAGTATATGTCAAGCAATCTTCAAGAATGAGCATATTTACTCTAAAAGATGAGTGTATAGTAAGTATTTGGATTTTTTTTATTTTGTTACTATTGTTATTTTTCTAATTTAGTGTGTTTTTTATTTGGAATTTTTCTTTTTTTAGCAATTTAATTTAGTTTAGGATTTGGAATTTTCTTTTTGTTACTAATGTTTTTTTATTGTTTAGTGTACTTTTTTTATTTGGAATGTTTCTTTTTTGAGCAATTTTATTTTGAATATGTGTTTAAAATATAGATAATTACAAGCTCATGTTCTTATTGTTGAAAAAAAAAACAATCATAGAAATCAATACATAAAAAAATGTTTAATTAATAAATTAATTATAAACAATAATTTGTATAGAATCTTAAAAGGTGGAATATAAAACTTTTGGTCATTTTATTTTCTAATAATATAATTTGAAGAATTTTTCTTTAATAAATTTAATTATAATATAAAATTAGATCAATAAAATAATTTATATTTAGTTAAAAAATTCAACATGTATAACAAAATGTCAGCTCTAAACAAATATTTAATAAACAAACAAAATATTAAAAAAAATAAAATAAAGGACCCATATTAGGTTGAAATAATTTAAAAATAAAAATATTAAAATATCTATTTACTTTTTTATTAATATATAATTTTTTCCTTTACTTTTAATTTATTTATTTACAAAATATATCATTAACAATTAATTATAAATAGTATATTTAAAAAATAATTATAAATAGTACATTTTATTATTAGTAATTAGCTGTCCATAATAATAAATATATATAAAAATTAATCTTAATTATTTTTAAAAATAATTATACTTAAAATATTTTAGGTGAAATTATATAAAATTTAAGTTACCTTATAATTAAAAAAAATGTTACGTGCATTGCACGTGGTAATACACTAGTATATATATGTGCCTTAAATGACCACTAATCTATTCGAAAGTAATAGATTAAAAAGAAACATAATAAATATAATAGGAGGATTGGGTGTTAAATAATATCTCTAAAGAAGTTATTAGATTAAGTGGTTTTTCAAATTTGTTAAAAAGCTTTGGAGAGTTGAAGCAACTGTAGGCTACTAAAGTGTAAAACGTGGTAAAATTGTGGCAACAAGATCGCCACCTTATCTCAAAGGTTAAAATGAGACATATTTGTAGTCGTATAAATTTGCTGGATGAGCAAGTATGATTGGACTATAAATAGGTGGGCACCCATGCTCGACAACCCATTAGGGGTTTTTCCAGGTAAAATTACCGTGTCCTATTCGTGATCAGAGTTTTGGTTTGAGACAGTACGAGAGCAATCTTGTATACCCTTTCAAAATGTATAGAGATTGGGTATGAACCTTTACAGAGGCAATTTCGTATGCCCTTTCAAAAATTATAGACATTGGGTATGAATCTTTACACGTAGAACTTTTAGCAACCAAATAGGGCATCTCTCTTGCACTAGACTTGCAAAATGCATAAATCTTTAAGCTGAATAATTATTTTAAGGAGGTGGTTTCACCGCACATTCGAATGAATTTAAACATCTCACCTGATCGTATGGCAAAAGCAATAATTTCCTCTCATGCATATGTGTTATGGCCATCTTTCTTTACCTTTCCTTCGTGGTTCAATTTATCCACATATTTATCTGGTGTCATGATAGCCCAAGTGACTTTTCATACTTGATGAAGTTTTGACTCTGTTTTCAACTCCATTTTAAAAGGTTTAAATATTATTTTGATTTTTATACTTTCGACTTTTGTTTATTTTCATTAATATCTTATTTATTTTGATTAAAAATTTAGTACCATGTTTTCCTCACAAATTTTTTTAAAATGTAGCAATAAATTTGTATCGAAAGATTTATATTGTGAAATTTGTGCTAAAATTAATCAAAGTAAAAAAACAATAGACTAAAATAAATATACATCTCGACATTTAGAAATGTATTTCAAAAA